GGATGGAACCCAGGGACCTGTGGGCTCTAAGTAAGCACTCTCTCAGACAAGTTGCAGCCCCAAGTCCTAATTCCCAGGTCGTTTTCTAGTGCATTCTAAGTGGAAAAGTTTAACTGTACAGCATATCGATGTGGCTGAACCTCATGAGTCTGTCTTTGAGATTACTCTGTGTGTGGAAGCTTGCATGGATCCATCCAGAATGATTTATGAAGCATTCTTTTCTGAAACGAATGAAAAACATTTGCTCAGAGGTCATGTGAGGGCCAGTGCTACTGTGGTGGCTGGAACAGAGGCCACGTGCATGCTGGTGTGATGTGTCCATGCTGGCTGGGGCAGAAGGTGCAGTGACAGCTGCTGCACGATCCGGCAGGCAGCTCTTCTCACGCTCCCTGACTAGCATGCCTTTGGCAACCCCAGGGGAAAAGGTCAAATGTGCCGGGGACACCCCCCTGCATGTCACAATTCCTACCCACCTTCAAGTCCCAGCCAAGAGACCACTGTTTACTTGACTCTTTCTGATCTAGGGACAAAGTCACCGTGCCCCAGGTTAGGAGGAAAACACAAGAAGTTCATAACTAGAAAAGGTGGAGGGCTACAAAGAACCAATACGCACAGGGCAAACTAGCTAAACAAGAAAGACAATGGCTAGGACTTTAGACAGCCATTTAAACAAAAGTTTCCACAGACTGTTTCACATGGGAAAATGCCCCCTGGTAGAGCACCAGAAGATAGCCATATGCAATACAGTCTCGGATTTAGGGCTGCAGAGATAGCTAAGTGGTTGAGAGCACTCCCTGGCTTTCCAGAGAACTGGAGTTCAGGTCCCAGTATTCGTGTGGGAGAGCTCACAATCTTCTGTAACTGCAGCTCCTAGGGACCTGATATGTGTGCAGAGAGCCAGGATTAAAGGCATGTGTGGCCACCGCCCAGCTTAAGTGTGTTTTAAAGACAAAACAAAACTATCTTATTAATCCTTTGAGAATTTCATCCACTGTATTTTGCAGAGGCTGTTTCTTACTGGGGAGCTTAGAAGCAATTTCCAAGTTTTCTTCCTATCTTTCTAAATTTTTAAGCTTGGCATTAAAGTGCAATGACCGGATTTCCAAAACGGACTTGTACATCTGGGGCTTGTATCACCTTTACTAGTTTCACTCAGATGGCATCTGGCCTCTGCTTGAAGCCCTCTAGTAATGAGGAACTCACTACCCTCCTTTATTTATTTTCCAACTACTTCTACACAAGACAAAGAAATCTAGCTTCCTTTTAGCTTCTCCCAGTGACCAAGACCAAGATCCTACATCCTAGCTCAACAGAGGACAGGTTTTACCTCTTTAATAACAGAGGTTCCAAGGCCAGATCTGGGCTGTATATCTCTCTGCACCTACCCACCTAAGGGAGCATTCATCTTGGTTGTCCTCACAAACTCCTTTGCTTCTTTTGGGGAACCATAGGCAGTGAAATCCTTAAATCACAACTTTAGTTCTATGTCTTGCTAGGCAATGGTGGTGCACGCCTTTAATCCCAGTGCTTGGGAGGAAGAGGCAGGTAGATCTCTGAATTTGAGGCCAGCCTAGTCTATGGAGTGAGTTCCAGGATAGCCAAGGCTATACAGAAAAACACTGTTTTGGGAAAAAAAAAACTGTCTCATTCAAGGGCACACTACCTGCCAGTCAGGTCTTTAGTAGACTCAATCTTTTATCAACTTTGTAGAATGAACCTAGACAACACAGCAGCCAATTCTGTGCCTGTCTGACTCTGAGTCAGAGAAGCTAAGTCTCTGGCCAGGTCACCCAGGGTCTCTGTGAGGTAAAGAAGAGTACAGCTGCTCCGAACCCACTGGGGTGGGAACACACGGTTTCCAAGTTCTTTAAAATTGCATTGTATGTATTTATTACTTAAAACATTTTTTATTATGTGTATTTGAGATGGCTCAGTGGGTGAAGGTACCTTTTGACAAGACTGACCACCTGAGATTGATCTCGAGGAAGGAGAGAGCCAACTCCTGAAAGTTGGTTCCTGGTCTTCACACATGAAGAGCACATGTGTACACACACAGACACATAGACAGACAGACAGAGAAACAGAATACATTAAAAAAAGTATGTACATAGGTCATGAAATAAAGTAGCCAATATTGGGGGGTGGTGAAGTTTTTTGTTATTGCTGTTGTTTTTTGGGTTGTCTCACTGTGTAGCCCTGGCTAGCCTGAAACTTTCTATGTAGACCAAGCTGGCCTTAAACTCACTGTTGCAATGACCCTGAACTTCTGACACCCCCACCCCACCCCCTTCCAAACTCTGGAATTAGAGGCATACCCAGTTTATGTGGTGCTGGGGATTGAAGCCAGGTCTCTACCCACTGAGCTACATCCCCAGCCCCTATTCCCAAGATATCAGTATGTTCTGTCCTGAGATAGCAGTGACTTAGCCCCAGGCTAGGCCTCTTGGTAAGGTCTAGAGTGTCTGGTCACCCAAGATACAGAGCACAGAGGTCATCAGATCCTCAGACTAGTGCAATGGAGGTACTGGGGGATCGTCAACATTGAGATACTGTCCCAAGCCTGGGGAGTTCTTATGAAGGTTCAGCTGCCTTCACTGCTGCTGGTCACCCCACTCTGCACAAGCCTCACATCCTGGCCTTTCTGTAGCCTTTAAGCCCTTGGCTTTTATTGTGGGGAACTCCTGCCAAACTTCCCCACCCAAGAAGCCTTCCTCTCAGTCTGGGGAGGCTCTCTTACTGCATGCGAGGCTAAACCTTGGCCTGGCTCCCAGTTGGCTGTTATTGCATTCCTAGGCACCTGCTCCATACTCTGCACAAGGCAGCAGGGGGTCAGGGTGGGAAGTGGAAGACTAGATGCCAATGGAAGGAAGAAAACCAGTCATTCATATGTATGGGTGTGTATACATAAATACACACATACATATATACATATTATAATATATATTATGCATATATACATATACACAATATATACATATACATATATATATATATATATGTAGTTCTGGCTGTCCTGGTACTTGATATGTAGACCAGACTGTCCTTAAACTCACAAAGACCCACCTACCTTGGCCTTCTGAGTTCTGGGATTAAAGTTGTATGCTACTATACCCAGCAAGTCTTCTATAATTTTTTAATTAAGAAAAGCATTAAACATTTTTATATGTATAGGTGTTTTGCTTGCATGTGTCTGTGTGCCACATGCATGCTGGTTACACAGAGGCCAGAAGGTGTTGGATCTCATGGTACTGAAATTTCAGATGGTTTTGAGCTGTCATGTGGTATTGGGAATTGAACCTGGGTCCTCGGGGAGAAATGCCAACACTCTCAACCACTAAGCCATCTCTCCAGGCCCCTAGCCTTCTCTGAGTAGTTATCCTATCTGTAATGTAGGGAAAGCTTCATTCCACAGCTCAATATGGTCCTCAGGGCCTTCCTAATATAGAACAGGAAGTGAAAATACTTAGGGAGTGTCATTATTGTGGTCTGACTCTTGTGACCCCTGAACCTCTATTCTAGAGTCTCATGTCCCAGGGGTATTGGCAGACTGTGGAGATATATTGGGTGCTCACAATTTGACACCTGCATTGGAAATTAAGTAAAAAGCACCAACCAGGAGGGTTAGGAACAGGTGGAAACTTAGCCAAAAAGCAGTCTACTGCCCTCCTAACAGGCACCATGAGCAAAAGAACCCAACAAACACACACGGGTCCAAGGCAGACATGCCAGGCTGTTTGAGGCAGCAAAGGTGAAGGGCTTTGCAGCTATCAGGAAGTCCCTAGAAGCCAGGTATGGTGGTCCATGCCTATAATTTCAACATTGGGGAGGGTAAGTAAGATTGACAGTTTGGTGCCAACTTAGGCAAACTAAAACATCCAGCCTGCTGTGATGGGGCATGCTAGTAATTCCAGCACTGTTGAGAGGCAGGTAGACTCGTAGTGCAAGGCCAGCTTTGGCTACACATTGAGTTTGAAGACAGCCTGAGCTACACAAGACCTTGTCTCAAAAAGTGGGGGAGAAAAATAAAACAATGAAAAATTATTGCAAGTGCAGGGGGCGGGTTCAGAGAGAAGATACACTCCCACACTGACAAAGTTAGGGGCAGATAAACAGATAACAGGAAGACTAATGAGCTGAAGTTCATTACAAAATTAGTCATTTTCACAGTGGGGACTGATCAAATTCACGGGCTGTCCATCACTGCCAGGGGTGGAGAGACTGGCATACAGGAAAAACGACTAAGACTCTAGGGTCCCTGCTCCCTTCTCTGGGCCTCCTGCTGTCCTCAATGGACTCGGTCCTGGATCCAGGCTCTGACCTCCTGATGGTTCTCAGACCTCAAGGGGCAGAAATCTGAGTCAGTCTCTTGGGCACTAACCCAGCTTCAGGGCTCTAGGGGGAGAGACAGGAAGGGAGGAGAGAGCTGCAGGAGACTACAAATCGACTCCCTCTTCAGCCCCTCCCAGCTACCCTAAGGGCAGCCCACGCATTGCTCTGAGCCCGCTGGAAGCCCTAACCCGGTTCCTAGGCTCTAAAGGGTGTAGAGATCCCAGGCGAAACTCGTTAAGAGGCCGGCTGGGCTGTGTCTAGCAGCCCTTGGGCAGACCCGGGAGTTGAGGTTTCCAACAGGTCTCAGGTGATGCTGGCGCTGTCCGGCTGTGGACCTATCAGAGATTGCCGGCCTTAGCTCAAGGCTCAGAGAGGTTAAGAGTCCCGTCCTCCACTACACAGTGACAGCCCCACACCGAAGGCCACCTGCCACAGACACACCAGTCACCTCCCCGCGGGGACAACAGGGTCAGCTGCAGTTTGTCTGGGACGGAGTGTGTTAACTCGGCTGCTGGCTGCCGGGTCAGCTCAACACGGGCAGGGACAGAGCACCCCCCAGCTCCGCACCCCGTCTCCGTGCCAGCCCCCCCTCACTGTTGTCCATCTGGCGTCCTCTGCCCGTCCCTCTGGATGCCCCCCAAAGCAGACCTCCTTGTGCCGGCTCCCGGTACCTTCTCCGCACGCTTGGTGCGGCTGTGCCGGCTGTGCCTGCAGCCCATCCTGCTTCGTGCGTCCCGCCGGCTGTGACTCTCAACCGCCTGGAGCTGCAGCCGCGCCGGCTGCGCGCCTTAAATGCCGGAAGAGCAGGGCCTGCGCGGGGCCGGGGCCGAGCCGGGGCCGGGCTAGAGCAGGTGCCAGCGGCGCTCCACGCCAGAAGTACCTGAGGCCCGGGCAGGAGAGATCCCGAAGAACCACAGATGGTTCTCAGGACCCTCTGATGAGAAAGGGCTGAGAGGGTAAAGAACGCAAACAATTAAACCAGGCGTTGTGGCACATGTCTGTAATCCCAGTTCTGGGGAGGTAGAGGCAGGAGAATCACAAGTTTGAGAACAGGCTAAGGCATATAGGGGGTTTGAGGCCAGGCTGGGTGGGCTACATAATAACTTGTCACACAAAGCGAACTGGTTGGAGAAAGATCTTAGTGGTTAAGAGTGATTTTCTGCTCTTCCAGGAAACTATGGTTCAACTCCAGACACCCACATCAGGTGACTCAGATGCTCGTAACCCCAGCTTCAGAGCATCCTTCTTTTAACCTCTGAAGGCACTGAGAGCGAGTGTCTGTAACCCCAGCACTCGGGAGGCTGAGACTGGAGCATTACTATAAGTTACAGGCCTAGGCTACAAAGACCTTATCTCAAAAACAAAACCAACCAACCAAGCAAGCCAGCTAAAGGCTCAGTAGGAAAGGCGTTTGCCCCTGAATCTGACCTGAGCTCCATCCCCAGGACCCACTCAGTGGAGAGAGAAAATGAACATGTATGCCATGGCACACACACACTGCCTTTCCCATACATGCATAAATCTCAAATTTTTTTAAGCTGAAAAGGTCAATCAATTTGTAGTTCCAGGACTTGGGAGGCTGAGGCACAAGGACAGCTACAAGTTGGAGGTCAGTTTTGGCTACAGAGTGAAACCTTGTCTCTTGAAATTTGTCCTCTGATCTCCATATGTAGGCCATGTATGCACATGTTCTCTCTCTCTCTCTCTCTCTCCTTCTCTCAACAAATAAATTAAAAAAAAGTATACTTCAAAGAAGGACAATGCTGGCAGCAAGGCCCAAACCCCAGGTCTAATGCTCCCCCAAACCTGGCTTTTGTAACACCCCTGCAAATAAATGACACCCACTTTCATTGTAAGGTTGCGCAAGACTGGGCCAATAGCTCTCCCCAGCTCACAAGATCTGTGACATAGTCTTCTCTCCTCAGGACAGACACAGCAAGACTGCCAGATGCAGCAGGAATAGGGACAATAGGGTCAGAATCTAGGACAAGAAACTCCTTTCTGTCTTCTCTGAGCTCTCACTGGGAGCTGCACGTGGGAAGACGATAACAGCTTTGAAAGTCAGCACTCCAGAGTACTGGGAAGCACAGGTTAGAAAATCAGTGTCAGGCTACAAACTCTTTGAAAGCTGTATTGATGAAAGAGACCCAGTGCAATAAATAACACAAGACCTCCCAAGGCAATGGGCCTCAGAAGAGCATCAAACAATATTGAACTGGGCATTTGTAGTCCAAACAGCAAGAAAAATGAAGCAGGGGAATCACTGTGAGTTCCAGGCAAGCCTGGACTACATAATGAAACACTGTGTCTTAGTCACTGTTTTATTGCTATGAAGAGACACTATGAGTAAGGCAACTCTTAAAAAAAGAAAGCATTTAACTGAGGAGGGGGGGCTTCTTACAGTTTCAGGAGCTTAGTCTATTATCATCATGGCAGAGAGCATGCAAAGGCACTGGAGCAGTAACTGAGAGTGCTACATCCTGATCAGCAGAGAAGGGGAGAGAGAAAGAGAGAGAAAGAAAGAGGGGGCGGGGCCTTTAAAATCTCAAAACACACCCCTAGTGACATACCTCCTCCAACGAGGCCACACCTCCTAATCCTTCCTAAACAGTTCCACCAATTGAAACCAAACATTCTAACTTGTGAGCTTTTGGGGTCATTCTTATTCAAATCACCACAGAAATGCTTAGTAGGGCAGCGGAAGTGTAGGGCAGGTGAGAAGGCTCAGTGGATTAAAGGGGTTCACAACTCAATTCAGTCCCCAGGACCCACATGATGGAAGGGGAGAAGTGACCTCCCCCATAAGTTGTCCTCTGACCCACACGGTACATATATGCCACAGTACAGAACATTATAGGAACTGTCCTACCTCACCACACTTTTTTTTGTTTTCTATTTATTTACAAACATTTTTTAGATGTTTGTTTTATGTGTATGAGTGCTTTACCTGTATATGTGCATATGATGTAGTGCTTGCATGCCTGGTACCTCGGAAGGTCAGAAGAAGACATCAGATCCCCTGGAACTAGAGATAAGAATGATTGTGAGCTGCATATGGATGCTGAGGACTGAACCCAGGTCCTCTGCAAGAGCAGCAAGTGCTCTCAATTCCTGCGCCACCTCTCCGGCATCTTCCTTTCTTTCTATAAAAAAAGCATTACAGTTACCATCATAATCCTAATAAATATTATTGTAATAGTTAGTATAATGACAAATGCAACATTTTAAATAAATATAATGATAGTTATTAGTGTGTGTGTGTAGGTTATGGTTCAACTTGAGGGAGCAAGTCAATTCTCTCCTCTGTCATATGGGTTCTGGAGATTGAATTCAGATCATCAGGCTTGGTGGCAGGCTCCATTACCCAGAGAGCCATTTCACTGGCCCAGTTTTTTTTTTGTTTTTTTTTGTTTTTGTTTTTGTTTTTTGAGATATGTGTTCCAGGCTGGCTTCAAAATTGCTATGTAGCCAAAGAGGACCTTGAACTTCTGCTCTTCCTGCCTCTGCCTCTTGAGTGCTGGGATGACTGACAGGAGCATCTCATTACATTAGACTTCCAAGTCTTCTAGTTTTCAAAAGAAGCTGGGAGTTTTCCAAGTACAGCGTGAAACAATGGTGTCTGTCTGTCTGTCTGTCTGTCTGTCTTTCACATGCACATCTCCTTCTCTACCTCTATCCCCACCATGCAAGCTGAACAAAAGAGTTGGAGGAAGAGTCACGGCATCCAGCTCAGGTGACAGGTGATGGATCCGGGCCTGGAGAAACACATTGGAAGCAGAGGGCATGACTAAGTCCATCTGGGAGTGTGAAGGTTGGCCAGCTGCCCCAGCATGCAATGGCTGCACTGGCTTCTGCAGACTGAGTATGGCTTCTTCTCGTCTGTACGGAAAAGAGTATTTCTCAGTCAGTTGCTGTGAGGCAATTTTAGGGGTCTCTGTGGCTTGATGTGGCCAGAGTAGCTGGGTGGAGGAGGTATTTGAGGCACTCATGCAGACTTCCAGTGGCCTTGGTGATCTAAGCAAGCTGTTTGACTTTATCTTGTAAGCAAGGGTAAGACAGGACAGATGGGTATTCTGCAAGGTCACTGGGGAGGAGGGGACAGAAGGTGCTGGCTGTGAGTGGATCTACAGGGAGTTGGTGAGGGCGCAGACAGACTGCCTCTCCCAAGCCAATTCAGAGTCTGTCCCGGCTGTTGCACTCCCAGAATGCATGGCGCCAAGGCACTTCTCTCAGCTCTCGGCCTGTGAGACTCGGCCAGCCAGGGTGTTGTGGTTACCGGGGCCTCTGGTTACAACACGTTTAGTTTTAAAAACCATCGCAATATCTCTTAAATCAGGGCCCTGGACAAGATCCAAGGACAGTAGCAGGGACCAACCCTAAGGCGTGTGATTTTTAATGAAGTAATTTTACAGGGAGGGAGCCTTGGCATCGCGGGTAGCTGGGGGACCACAAGTTCAGGTATGAGTTGAAAGCTGGGCAGGGTTGCAAGAAGAGGAAGCCCAATCCTGCTTTTTCAAGGCATTTAGTGTGTGTGTCTATTCACATGTGTGCCGATATGTTTCCGTGGCAGAACTTGGCTGTTCTCCATCTTGCTTAATGAAACAGGGTCTCTTACTGGTCTAGAACTGGCCAAGGATGCTGGATCCATCTCCACCCCCTCAATACTAGGATTATATTATAACCCACCTGTCTTCGTATGGGTTTTATTGCTGTGAAGAGAAACCATGACCAAGGCACCTCTTATAAAGATGAACATTTAATTGGCGCTGGCTTACAGTTTCAGAGGTTCAGTCAATCATCATGACAAGCTGGGCGATGGTGGCACACGCCTTTAATCCCAGCACTTGGGAGGCAGAGGCAGGTGGATTTCTGAGTTTGAGGCCAGCCTGGTCTACAGAGTGAGTTCCAGAACAGCCAGGGCTACACAGAGAAACCCTGTCTTGAAAAACCAAAAAAAAAAAAAAATCATCATGACAAGAAGCATGGCAGCCTGCAGGCGGATACTACATTGGACCAGGCTTTCTCTGAGAACATTTGATGACAATAAAACATCTTCCAAGCTGTCTGGAAGATCTAGGAGCAGAGGGTAGTAGGAACCGAAATATGTCCTTTTCCCAGCCCCCCCCCCCCCCCAAGCTGCCTGAAACTCTCCAACCTGTTATTGATTCAGGGGTGTGGTGTAACAGAGAGTAGTACCACTGAGATGTGTAAGCAAAGGTAACACAGGACAGTGTTGTTTCTAAAACTATGCAAGGGGCTGCCTGGGGAGGGCTCCCCAGAGAATCGATAATCAGAGCCATCTAATTGAGATTGGACGAGGTTTTTTGTTTGGTTCTTTTCAGGGGTAGATATTCTTCCTTAAATGAATCAGCAAAGTGTTGTGGGTTGTGCTGATGCTATTTGTATTCTGATGTTAATTCTGCTTCCTCAAGAGGGGTTTCCTCCTCACAAGCAGATGAGCAGTCAATCTAGTGATCTCACACGAATCTTCTTCCTATTTTAACTGGTCGATAAAAGCCTGTGATTGGGCAGGGGAGGGGAAAGGTGGGATGGGAGATCTTTGAGAGTGGGGGCAGATAGAGGGAAGAGGAGGGCAAGAAGGGAGGAAAAAAGACAGAAGAAGAGGAGGAGGGAGCCATGATGGAGCCGTGTGGCAAGGAGAAACCACAAGTAGCTAAGGGTCTTATAGCTGGGGAATGTTAGTGTAGTGTTAGATCTGCCTAATCAGGGCTTATAGCTTATAATAACTGGATTGTGTGTTGTTTATACGGGCTTA